TCCACCATTCTGCATCAAAACCCTGAGACAAAATATTTTTTAGATTTTTTGTCCATTTTTCGTGATGGGATACCTTGAAAATGGGGTTTTCCCCTATAGGGTCCACAGAGATGGCTATATCTTCCCCAATTTTCATCCGATTCTCAAGCGGAGTACCTTGAACGATTTCTAGATCCATTCTCCACCATTCTGCATCAAAACCCTGAGACGAAATATTTTTTAGATTTTTTTTCCATTTTTCGTTTTGGGTCCCCTTGAAAATGGGGTTTTCCCCTATAGGGTCCACAGAGATGGCTATATCTTCCCCAATTTTCATCCGATTCTCAAGCGGAGTACCTTGAACGATTTCTAGATCCATTCTCCACCATTCTGCATCAAAACCCTGAGACGAAATATTTTTTAGATTTTTTGTCCATTTTTCGTTTTGGATCCCCTTGAAAATGGGGTTTTCCCCTATAGGGTCCACAGAGATGGCTATATCTTCCCCAATTTTCATCCGATTCTCAAGCGGAGTACCTTGAACGATTTCTAGATCCATTCTCCACCATTCTGCATCAAAACCCTGAGACAAAATATTTTTTAGATTTTTTGTCCATTTTTCGTTTTGGGTCCCCTTGAAAATAGGGTTTTCCCTTATAGGGTCCACAGAGATGTCTATATCTTCCCCAATTTTCATCCGATTCTCAAGCGGAGTACCTTAAACGATTTCTAGATCAATTCTCGACCATTCTGCATCAAAACCCTGAAACAAAATATTTTTTAAATTTTTTGTCCATTTTTCGTGATGGATCCCTTGAAAATGGGGTTTTCCCCTATAGGGTCCACAGAGATGGCTATATCTTCCCCAATTTTCATCCGATTCTCAAGCGGAGTACCTTGAACGATTTCTAGATCCATTCTCCACCATTCTACATCAAAACCCTGAGACGAAATATTTTTTAGATTTTTTGTCCATTTTTCGTTTTGGGTCCCCTTGAAAATGGGGTTTTCCCCTATAGGGTCCACAGAGATGGCTATATCTTCCCCAATTTTCATCCGATTCTCAAGCGGAGTACCTTGAACGATTTCTAGATCCATTCTCCACCATTCTGCATCAAAACCCTGAGACAAAATATTTTTTAGATTTTTTGTCCATTTTTCGTTTTGGGACCCCTTGAAAATAGGGTTTTTCCCTATAGGGTCCACAGAGATGGCTATATCTATATTCTGTTCTATATTCTATCTATATTCTATATTACATATTTCCCTCCAAACTTAAGTATTACCAAAGTATAGGAAATTCGTGTCACAAATGTTTACAAATACCGAAAACTTTTAATTGGCTTCGTTAAAATGACTTTCCGCTTCGAATTCAGAATTTCCGCTTTGAAAATCTCTCCTGCTGTCAAAAAATTAACAACTAACCCTCAGACTCAGACACGAAATAAACTCACTAACGACTGGGAAAAAACGATCGTTGAACCCAATATTTATTTACTGTTATGGCATAGATTGCATGTGTTCTGGTGCCACGCCCCCGGCACATCCCCCCTTTAGTAGTACCAATTTCAGATGCAGACACGTAAATATCATAAAGTTGTGTACAAATAAATCAAATCATGGTGCAGAGCCCAGCGCTGAGAACAAACAGCCCGCATCGGGCGGGAAAAAACTACACATGTTTCAATATGTTCAAAAAACTATAACTCCCCCACTACTGACATCCCCCCTGCTGCAATAGCCAGGCTATCAGTCAGCCAAAAGTTCAATAAACAAAATAAAGATAGAAAGGGAAGGGGTGCCACCTAACAAATAACTTGAAATCAAATAAAACGCTCTCGTTGCCGAGTGCAATCAGAGCTCGCACCTTCAGGTACAGATACATTTACGGGCGCGGATACAAATATACAGATACAATTAGCGTCGACTCTTAGGCAATGCCCTTTGATGTGGGGTATTGTGACTAAACAACAACAGCGTAGAAAACCAAGTGTGAAATAATAAATTTCATGTTTGATGTGATGTGAGAAAGCTCCCCTGCCTCTGAATTCAATTTAAAATCAGAGCTATACCGGAAAGTCAATCACATTTCCGATATCTTTCGGAAAGAGCACACGGAACGCGACCTGGGGATCTGTTCCGTTGAAATGAAATGATTGCGATTCCCTAGGTGAGAACCACAAACAGCTGCTCCGTTTTCTGTCTCCACTGGGATGTTGCCAGTGGCAGTGGGCCCTGACATCGGGCCAATTCACTTGGCCCTCCTTCCAACGTGGCCAACATCAAAAGCCCCATCGAGTGGCGGCTGCCACTCTTAAAGAGTGCGAAATTAAAACAAAATGTTGCAAGATGCTGCGGGCTCTGGCTCTCTGCTCTCCACCTGCTCCCCTCCTGGCAACTTCCCTACTCGCAACTCCTCCGACTTCATCTCGGGCCGTTTGATTTCGTGCGGCTGATAAGCCGAGTTGGTCGGAGCTCTTCCCATCATGCGTAAAACGGCGTCAAAATGCAAATGTTGCGCAGGAAACTGCGGGGCAAGTTGCCCCCTCGCCTCATCCTCCAACAGGCCACAGCGTAAATAAACATTTTGCGCTTTAATTTATGTTGCAACGTTTGTTGCTGTGTACAGCATGGGGAGCATTTTATTGCACATTTGCTTGGGGCCGCATTGCAAAATTTATCATCAACTGCGAACTAAATGGGCTAAATGGGGGCAGCATCACCGGCATCGCCATCAGCAACGGCCAAATAAGTTTTCCGCACACAAACTTTGTAAAATATTTCATTAAGAGGCACACCGGAAACTAAATCTACTTATAAATTCCATGGGAAGAAAATTTTAAGGAAAAGCTAAATATTAAAGTTCTTTGGGAATCTTTGAGACTTCAAGAAAGTAATAATGAGGCATCTTTGATAATATTAGTAAGGACTAATGATGATTGCCACACATATGTACATACGATTAAGTTCCAATTAAATCACCTTCAATTGAATCAAGTTTAAGTTATTCCTGTTCTAAACACAATTCCGATAAAATCATTACTAGATGATCCACATTTAAGGGGAATCAGGGCAATTGACAAGAATTGGCCAATGCCTGCCATTGAAGGCCAATAGAGTTGAAATTTTCCGAGTCATGTAACCAAAGGTTGTTAAACAATTTGCTAGTCCACCTGGTCTCTTTACCCTGCACACTACACACTGCAGACTGCTGACTGGTGACTGCAACTTCAGCAAGCTGCACTCATTTCAAATTTAAATGAGAAAATAATGCAAATTAATGTGGAGGCAGCACTTTGTTACGGCAACCTACTGATAAACAACAACAGCACAGCACAGCACAGCCTGTTTGGACAGTTGCTGTTGGCACGACCCAACTACGGACAACCCTACTATACACATATATATTTGTATAAGTATATGGTGTACATTGTGAGATCCCTGGCATCCGAAACCTGCGAAAGCGGTACGTGGCTGTGGACAAGGACAACGTCGTGTACATGTTAATTACTTGTGAAAATATGCAGCAGACGGCAGGCAGCTACAAGGGCCAGTTGCCGTGAGGTAGAGTTTTCACACCAACCGAAATTGCCGGGTCGCCAGTCGCCTGTTTTTGGGGCCAGGGACAAGGCACCAGGCACCGGGCACCGGGCACCGGGATCGTATCGTTCCTTCTTTATGTGGCTGCTGACGAGTGCCCTTCAAAGTGAACCTGCCAACTGTTCGGTTTGCTTCCAGGTCCAAAGGGGCGGACTCTCCTGGGCCGCTTCCGTTTCTATTCCATTTCGAGGGGCTTGCCACCGCTGGCGTGTGTGTGTGCAGGCATACTAATTACAAAGGCAACACCCACACTCAAAAAAACTGGCCACAACTCGAAGTAACATGTAAAGAGTTTCAAAATTCATCCAAAATATTTGCTATATTTTATTGGTCTAAAAGTTCTCCCTGACATTTCTTAAGATACATTTTTTTCAAGTGCAGCACAAGCAGTAGCAACTATTCACAAAAACAACAACAACCCCGACGTGCCACATTGGACGTGGATCTTTAATCGCTCCCCTCGAAGCGACTTTTTGTGCGGCACACTCATTAAGCGAAACTGAAAACCAGAAACAACTTCAAATCACACATCATTTCTTTCTTCTTTCTCTTCCGCCCCTTTGGTGTATTTTGTTGTTTTTTTATTACATTTCGGGACTGCCGGGCTTGTATCTTTCGTTCGGGCCTAATTGCTTTTTATGACAGTCGAGTGAATATGATAAATCTTTTGCCGTGGCCCGACATTATTTCGACATTTGTTTGGCTAGAAACATTCTTGGCAATTAAATTTATGTTTGTATTTCGTTTGTACTTCGCTCCCTTCGGACTGCTTGACATGTGTTTGCCCGATATTGGACCCCCCGCAGCACCCTCATATCTTTATGCGTATTTCCTCCGAGACCAGCCAGCCAGCCCACCTCTTAGCCCAACCCGTCCACCAGCTCATCCTTCCATTAACCAGAAAAAGTGTCAGCTGTGCAAGTGCCTTTCATGCTTGACATTTATTTGCAATCGGCTTGCGGTTTCATTCTGCCTATAAAGAGGAAATTCCGTTCAAGTGGCTCACGAAGCGGGCTTTATTGGGTTAATCTTTGTCGGGGACAGCTAGTGCTGTTGCACTTTCCCAACTGGGCCAAGTGCCAAGTTCATCAATGATTTTAAAGAGCCTTGCCAAGTGTTGTTTATGATATGGCAAGATTTAATCAAAATCTATCCAGTTCTTTCGCTTATTTTTATTAATTTAAAGAATATACTATTTTTTGGCTCTTACTCCCTCGGATTAGTTTAAGAAACTAGTAACTAGGTCAGGTGGGCTGTCATATGTATATGGCAAAGGTCTTTCTATGGCTTGACAAAAGTGAAATTATTATTTAAAGATTTAGCAGTATGACGGCACAAGTCACGGGATGGCTCAAGCCATAAATGTACATATATAGGCCTTTTGTATTGATCCAAAAATAAAACAACAATTTCTCTTCCAGCGCTTTTAACAGCGATTAGCATACGATGATGGCTGCGAATATGTTTCGTAACTTTGTGAATTTTACAAACAAACACAGAGTCATCCGGGGCATGATATCATATGGCACCCTCTGGCCCTGCGGCTCCCTCATCGAGCAGACCCTGATCGAGAGGCGGACATTCCAAACGTACGACTGGATGAAGTGTCTCAGGTGGTATCGCATGCATCTCGTCCGACTCTTCGATTGCTAATTGGCCTTGGTGGCACTCTTTGATCTGGTGGTGTTGCAGGTTCGGCATATTCGGCTTCTTTTTCATGGGGCCAACCATATACGCGTGGATCAGATTGGCGGGGATTATGTGGCCGCGGACGGACATTAAGTCTTCGCTCTGCAAGGCTATCACCGAGCAGGCAGCATACGATCCGATGGCCATTAGTTCGTTCCTCTTCTTCATGACCCTGATGGAGGGCAATAGCTACAAAGATGCCAGGCGAGAGGTAAAGTTGACTTTCAATATTTTCATAAAAAAATATGACTTCTCTCTCATTAATCATAAAATAAAGAACTTTTTTTTAATGCATACAACTGCTTTCATGTTCATTACGACATTGCCCCGTCAAGTATGCTATAAAAAATTATCGCCAAGCTCAAAGTTTTTTGGTGAGTACTAATTTAGTTAGTTTTCCATTTTCAAGCCTAACTAAGGCGGTCTTTGATTGAAACTGCACAATTGGATTCCCAAAACCTCTTTTTGGAGTTTCAGTTTGGCGTGCAGGGAATTTGTTTGAAAATCCATTTTCTCACGACACATTCAGACAGCCGCGACGCCGTCGCAGTATCTGTATCTTTGTATCTGTATCTCTGCTGCCCCGCATTTGTATCTGCGGCTGTAATGTAAGCATGCATAAATATCACCTGCCAGCCGACCACCTCTCCATCTCCACTTCTGCGACTGGCTCTCCTTTCCGAGTTGTCAACATTGATTTGTTGGCTCTCCGGCCATAGTTTGAGATACTTTGCTCCATTCCCGAGTTCGGTTCGATGGTTGCTCCGGCCCCTGGCTGACTTCTATATCATTAGAAACCATTTATCTTGATAAATGTAAATGTTTTACCATATATTTGTGTCAAGCGTGCGTCGTCTCATTTGCTTTGCATACATTCCCCCGAAAGATCTATGGTCCGACTATAGCCGCCAGTGTGATTGGCTAAGGTTTCGGCCATAAAAGAGTTATGTGTGACACTGATGAAGACCCACGTATTTTAATCTTTTGATCCTGGACTAAATAGTCTCCACGAAAACATGTTCACAGACAAAATTTAGCTTCATTTGTGGAATATGGGACTTTCAAGTCTAGATAAGTTCAGATCAACAAAAATTTGTAATTTATAAATTAGGTTAAAATAAATAACAGTATCTTCTATTAGGATTCGAATGCCAAATTTAGCACACAAGACTAGTCTTTTTATTATTAATTAACAACGGCGGTGCCCATTTTTCACACCACTCATGTCCATAGATATCATTTACACGCCAAATTCGGGGAAAATGTTGGTAAAAGTGAAAATTTTCCAAGGCAGGCGATGCCTTTTAATTAACATTAACCGAACTGCCACGCCCAACTTTAGCGCCCGCAGTGAAAAATAGGGGAATTCGGCAATAAATAAAATTTTAAAGGTCTCCTCCTCGAACCACTGGCCGCCTGCCACTTAATTACAATTTTCCGCGCTGGCATTTTCCAACATTTTCCAGCATTTTTCGACCCCCAACCCCTGCTATTATGTCAACCAGCGCACCTCCTGCTATCTTCTCCCCTCTCGTCCCCAGGTCGCCGATAAATTCCTGGAGGCGTACAAGGTGGGTGTTATTTATTGGCCCTGCGTGCAGACGGTGAACTTTGCCTTTGTGCCGGCGCGGAACCAGGTCGTCTTCACCTCGTTCTTCAGTATGTGCTGGACCACGTTCCTGGCCTACATCAAGTTCCTGCAGATGCATCCCCACGTGGATCTGGACCACCACGAGATCGACATCCACTTCCTGGAGCCCTAGGAGCCTACATCCATTGTGATTGCCCACCAAAGACACACTTTTCTTGCCAAGGTTATTAAACGTCCTTTTTATTTTTATTAAAATGAAAAAATAATTTATTTAAGTAAATTATGAATATGTTTTGTACTGCTGGATCTGGTTAGTAGGATGTTAAAGGTTCTTCGTTTCACTTTTCTGAGCACAGGTACATATGTACATAGGATAAAAAAAAAATAATCTTTTTATACTTAAAAGAAAATAAATAAAAAAAAGATAATAAAAAAAACAGAATCGGCGTTTTATCAGGTTATAGCCGTGTACAATTTTACTATGATTTATTGGAAGCAATCACAAATAAATTATTGATAAAGATATTTTCGATAGGAGCTTGACAACTATTCCTGCATAAAATTTATCAACGTATACTTGGTGAACTTAAATAAAAATAATAAAATAATAATAAAAGAAGATTTTTACACCCGCAAATGGAAAATGCAAGTGATTTTAACAATGATTGCAAGATTATAAAAAAAATTAAATTAAAAAAAAAAAAGACCTTCAAATTGTAAACAAACCAATAAAAAATAAATATTTTACATGAGGACCACGAGAGTACGCTGGGAAGTCGAAAGGATTAGGTGTTCTATGGTAGAATCGAAAAAATGTATCACAAAATCAAATCAAATAAAAACAAAATTAAAAGACCTCCGAATTTTAAACAAAAAAATAAAAAATAAATATTTATTTTGAGGACCTTCCGCATGAAAACATGCAAGCTTTCTTGTATGCCGATTATGCTGAATGCATAAATAATGCCGATTTAGATTATTCTGAAACAGAAACATCATCGGCGTGCTGCGGTCTGCATTCGGATACTCTCATTCGGATTTGGACAAAAATGCCTTGAAGAACAAGCCTACTTGGATGCCTGGGAAGTATTCCATGAAAAAATAGAAAAAAATTATTAAAAAAAAAAAAAAGATTAAAAAAGAAAACTACGAAGTAAGAAAATTATGTTCGTACAGTAGAGAGAACTGAAGACGACTGAACACAGGCTACACTTTCTCAAACAGTCCTCAGATGTTCAATAAAATCACAGCCTACTAATTAATACAAAAATACAGATTGTAGAAAAGTAAAGTGAATTAATAAAAATGCGACTTGAAAGGTATTGCAAAAATTTGACTCCAGTTGACCCGCATCAGCATTTATCAAAATTAATATTTATTATTTGCACGCCACTCTTTGGCTGGGGGAATTGGGTTCCATTAAAATGCATACGCAACATCTATGCATATTATATACACAAATGGTAATACATATATATATATATCTGATGTGGTCCGTTGAAGTGGAACTGGTTGGGAGCGGGGTGGCAGATTGGGGATGGGGGGACTAAGTGGTCGTGCTGAATGCGAGAGCTGAATGCATAAATAATGCCGATTTAGATTATTCTGAAACAGAAACATCATCGGCGTGCTGCGGTCTGCATTCGGATATTCTCATTCGGATTTGGACAAAAATGCCACAGAACACTGAACTGTGCGGAGCGCAGACAACGATGACGAGGCCATAATCAGGCGAATTAATATGGAAATTTATGCAGAGCGAAAAACGAAACCGCAAAAGTAAACGCAGAACACCGCTCGCCGACCAAAACCCAAACCGAAACTCAAACGCATGTGGGCTCTGTTATCAGTCCGGGAAAACGTGGCTCACTTCCTGGCCAGAAGTACTGGATGGTTGCCGGGGGTGGGCAAGTTGTAATGCACAGGAAAAAATACATGAATCTATGGTAGTCTAAAAGAACTACTCACAAAAACAATCGTACCTTATTTAGCTGTCAAAGCCCTAGTTTCTTGCAGTGTCCTTCTGTCTGAGCCGCAAAAAAAAAAGAAACAATTGAAACACCAATCTCATTTAATTCTGCGTCGGCTGGCAGGCCAATTTCCTATCCCACCCCATGCATCCCATTCCGCCCAGCACCCATTTCTCAGTGTCTTCCCGGGGTCTTTGCGTTGCTGTTGTTGCTGTTTTATAGCGCATTAATTTCGAAAGTAGCGCTACGTGTGCCAAAAATCATTAGCAACGGAATTACGCTCAATGAAATGCAGTCGGCGTCGACGGCAAACAAAGGCAAATGCCAGCCAAGGGGGGAGATAATAAAGCGTGGCCAGGCCGGTCGGTCCTCCGTCGATTTCGATGTCGATGCCGTTGCCGGAAGAAGGGAACACCCGAGGGGGTAAGATAGCCATGGCAATGGCAGAATGTTACAGAACTCGGAAGGGGATGGGGTACCTGGTTGGTAAACTTCGGGAAAACTGCTTATAAATTTACCCTAACGACAAGTTAAATGCTGAATACGAAATGTTTCAGGGAAGGGTTCCCATTCCAAGACCCTCACAGACATGCGGCTAAGAGCCGGGAATTTGCCGCCAAGATGTAATCCAAATGGGCTCGAAGTGGAAGTTTGAAAATGTATGCAGATTGTGCTGGAAACACACTGTCTACTCTGAGGTCTTGCATATAAATTAAAATTTGTGACATTTCGATTTCATAAATATTTTACTATTTTGATGAAGAATGTTATCAAAAACGCGTTTGATTTAATCAGTTGCTAATTAGATTCTGTTTTTCGGGATACTTCCACGAATCAGAAATTGGGGAAAGCTGTTTGTTTTAATCTGGTCAGTGTGAGTAGCTGGCAATCTTATCGGCGGGGAATAAACCATTATCAGATAAATGGCGGAACTAATTCGGTAAATGAAATTATGCAAATGCGTAGGCCATCAGTTCGATTGGAGCGTGACAGGTGCGAGTACGAAGTCGAAATAAATTAGCATGTTTAAGTCCAAGTCCTTCGATTTGGTAAACGAGGAGAAAACGAAGAAGCCAGAGCGGCTGTATCAGCCGCGTCGGATGCGCTGGCTCAAGTACATCATTCTACCAGCCATTTTTGCCTTCGCCGTCCTTCTCGTCCTGTGCAACGTCGATTTTTCCAACTGTGCCGATGAAGTCGTTTCCAATGGAACATCGAAACAAAAGTGGATAACCTCGACTGTTGATGGCCCACCAGTTTACATCCAGGAAAGAGACCAGGACGGAGAAGGGACCTCTCTCTATGTTTCAAACTACAAGTTTGAAAAAGAAACCCTGGATAGAAGCTTCCTCTCCGGCAGCTTCCGACTGGAAAAGTTGACCCTCGAGGAGTGCCAGCTGAGTCGCATAGAACATGGAGTATTTCAACAAAACAGTACTCGCGATTTGCTAGTCCTGAAACTTTTAAATGTGCAGTTGGAAAGGCTATCGCGATCATCACTCAAAGGTCTACAAAGTCTTGAGGACTTCACCTTAACCAACGAGTATGAGTCATTCAGAGCCCTCGAATTTCTGTCACCTGTTTCAAGTACTCTCGTCAACGCCAGTATCCACCAACACTTTGGTGAAATAACCTACTCAGTGAGTGACTTTTTGGGAAGCAAAACATACCCTTCCCTCAAGTGGCTGGATCTCAGTGGAACCAATTTGGGAGGAAAAATAAACGACTATTCGTTCGAAAACCTGGTTGCTCTGGAGCGTCTGATTCTAAAGAATTGCGGTCTGAGCCAGGTAGATGCATTTCCCAGCCGCTTCCATTCCATTCAATATTTGGATTTGAGTGGAAATATGTTTAATGATCCGGGTGTTCGGATTGAACGAATGGTTTTGGAGCTTGATGGAGAAGAAGACATGGAAGGACGAATTATCACCGTTCCGAATGCAACAGAAAGAAGAAACACCTTGAAAAGAGTCCTAAGAAACTACGCTCCAACTGTTGTAGGAAGCCCAAGCACTACTCCATCAACCATCGCCACAACCTTTTTGTCCACAGAATTTTTTACAGAAAATACCACATCCATTGAGTCATCCAAGAAATGCAAGCAGGAGCTTTGTGAAGAAATTGAATACTACGATAGTGATGGTTACCCTAAGATACTACCCATAGATTATGATGCGAACATCACTTTTACTGACTATGCTGTAAATTCTGTAAAGGTGGATATCTCTAAGGTAAAATGTGCTAAGTGGTCACTCATCTACTTTGACGCCAACTTCTCGATTGTTTATATTGGACAAACTGAATTTAGTTATCTGAGAGGTACCTACACTTTAAAGATCTCAAACTTGAGTTGCAAAATCCCCTATACTTACTGTTTGTTACCGGATGACACGGAAACCTCTCCCTTGAACTGTCGATCGCACAAGATCTCAATGGGATGTGAGCCCCAAAATGTGTCCTGGATTAGCATACACATTGGACTGATAATCGGATTGGGAGTGGTTGCTGTAATTGTCGGCTGTCTTTTGGGAATGCTGATCATGTATGCGACTCTTCACCAAAAGCCCACCTTGCTTCGAGGTAGCAAGCATCTAATTCGCTCCCATCCAGACTCCAAATCCATGTATCTCATACCGACAAAGGGAAAGGACGATCCATACAGCTGTGTGGGGTAAGTAGTAGGACATACAGGATCGAAAAATTGTATATATCTAACTTTTGTATAAATCCCAGAAGCCGCCTCTCGATTGTAGACAACCACGAGTACATTGCCGCCTATCACAGATATCTGGAGCAAGCGAATATTCGGCAAACGGAATCCAATAGATACACTCGTCCGCCCCGGGAAAGGGCTCCATCCGCACCGCCTTGCCCCGAAACTCCTCCCGCTCTTCCCGCCAGGATCACCTATGAATACGAGAGCTTGGAGCTGTACGAGGAGCTTCACTAAAGGGATTAGTTAAGTGCCAAATCAGTACATTTCGTACTCCACCAAATGAGTACAAAAACCACTTATTATCTTGACTGTTATCCAAATTGTTATCTAAAATTTCCATTAAACAGTTGCCATTTTGTAACCAAGCAGAATGAATTCTGAATATATCTTTCTGGCTATATCATTAAAGTTGCAAAGGATTATTCAAAGGATTGTGTACATTTTTATCGAGAGTATTCTAATCAAAGCTACCTATCTCATCTCAAAGAAAATCTAAAGATTAAGTTTCTATTTGCAAGAATGATATGTTAAGGATAAACTTAGGCTTTTTAAGATGCCATATAATAATCAAGTTTCTTTTATTGATGAAGCCTTATACATTTGCTTCTTTCAAATCATTAATATAGTTTTTGTGGTTTTCTTCTGAATAAAAATCATCCAGCAGGGGAAGACTATCTCATCAGGTTCTTACTTGTTTATTCCGCTTTGCAACCACTGATGGCCCAGACTCATCTCTTTGCAGCTCGCTGGGGAAGTTTGCACAGTTCAATGCTTTTATTTAGCTTTAATGAGCCCCAGTTTTGCGACGACGGCGAAAGGCACTTCATCTGAATGCGCCCCATTGTGGACACAGTTTTCAGAAAGGCATTTGCCCTTCCAAGGGATCCGGACTGTATCCGGCGATACAGTGCACAGTTTGTTGACTTGCCACATGCACAATAAAATATTTTTTGTAAGCACTTTTTATGGCTGACATATCTTTTAATATACGCACACAGAGACGCCCCTGACACACCGACAGAGATATATTTTTTGCGAGCGTTTTTGCCAATTTATTTGTGCGCCCCTCTTTCCAGTTTGGCTTGTTTGGTGCCCTGCAGGCTGTCGCTGCCATAATTTCCCAGGCACATCCAAGCTGAAACATTGAGAGACGGAGACGGAGCACCGTTCAGGGGAGGAGAGCAGAGACTGGCGAGGGGACAGGGGAAGTGGATCCGGGACGCAGTCAAAGTCCGGCCAAGACTCGGCCATATGTTGCACACATTATGCTTACTTAACAATTAGAGACGCTCTTGTAATTCCACAAAATTGCTTTGTTCGCCCGGATTTTTTCGCTCCGAGGGAGGCTGCCGGCGTATAGGGGGAGGTGTCATGCGGGGTTGGGGGTTGGCAAGGGTGGGGGTGACGGGGCGGAAGGGTTGGGACGGAAGTGCCGCCGAGTGGCTTTTGTGTAGCTTCTTTGCCAGAGCGCTTTGGTCACTGAGCTGTGAATGGTTATGAGTCTTAAATCCAAGGAAAATGCTTTGATAGCCAGCCTGAGTGTGGGCGTGTGTGGGAATTAAAACGAGTTTAGGGTTGCTATTGAGGGGAAGGTAATTCCTAAGTGAATTCTACAGAATCCTGCTTGGAATGTTTCACATCTAGTCCTATCCTTTTGAGACAAATAAATTCCTTTCACAAAGACCTCAACTAGATGATGCATAGTTTAGCTGATCGAGTGACTTGTGAGACAAGCAGGGCTTCGCAGAATATTAAATCCATCTCCCAAAACTAATTAGGGCTCTGCCAGATTGCTGATGAAGTAACCGAAAACTATTCCATCATGCGATGAGATCTCGAGTGCATTGCGCGATGTTCCCAGAAGATGGGAAACCCTACACAACATCTGTATAGTGTACACTTCACTGGTGACAGAAATAAGAGAGCTGGTTTTATTATTATCTCAAGTGCAAGTATGATAGGAGGGAAACCCTAGACGAGTGTCACGGCTGAGTGCATCTGGACAAACCCACATGGGGACCGATACCGGATCGATACTTGTCCGCGCGCTCTCGCACTCGTATCTGTCGCGATTGATATTAATGATTTGCAGCAAATGCCATTAAGTTGTTTTGTACCTTTACGTCAGACCGAGAATGATGGCTCGGCGTGAAGGCACTGAAGGCTGAAAGGCTGCGAGAAACTGTCCGATTCCGATTCTGACTCCGAGATTGCATGGCCCGGAGCGGAGGCGTTGCTATCTACCCTCGAAAGCAGAGACCCGGGAAACCCCATTGTTCTGGCTATGAAATCAAAGACCCTTCTGCCCGTTTCCCGCCTGATAACGGACACGAAGGAACGGCCTCGAAACGTGGCATTTGTTTAATGGATTAAAAATAATAGGTATGTGTTTCCAGCAAAAGGGAGAGGCGGGAAAAGCGGGTTCAGATAAAAATCGTAGCACGTTTTGTGTGCGCATCGAAAATGGAAAACGTAGAATGGAAAATGTGCCGCGGTGTGTCATAAATTAATTTTTATAAATTCTGCAGCTTGTCTGATTTTGTTACGGATTGATATCGGCTTTATGCTGGCACTGGGGAACTGATGATGAGACAGGGACTCGGATTAATAATTATAATGCCACACGGCTTTGATGGACAGACAAAGGATTTTCCCAGAACAAAGTGAGTGGACAGGATGTGAAAGCACTTTCATTTTGGTCCTTCAAGGGTTGGAAGCCTTTCAACTGTGCGGTCGCCTGCCAAAAAAGCTTTTAAAAAATTATGCAAAAATCATGATTAGGCAATTTCCCCGATGCTAGATGCTGAATTCAGGATGCCGGATGTTAGATGTTGGCTGCTGGATGGTGGCTGTCTGATGCTGGAATGGTCTGCGGTCCTGGTTTTGTCTCCCGACTGCTAATTAGCCATTCATGGAGTGTAGTTAGCTTGCCTGGGGAATATTTAAACAGTTGGCTGGTTCCCAGGAAAACGGCGAAGCAGCAAAAGTTTAATTAGCCCGGGCGAATGGATGAGCCTTATGAATATGAAATCCGCACACAAATCTATTCAGCTCCGATCAGACGCACTTGTATCCTTGAGACTTCAGTCGCATTTATGTTAAGTTGAGATGATTTGAGTTGCGTTTCGTCGAGTTGGGACTAATGAGCCCTACCAGAACTGCTGTCGAGCGAAACAAAAAACAAAAACGGCTCACAAAAACACAAAATGTAGCAATTATGGGGCGGACCGGAGAAAAATTCACATTAATGACAAAAGCCAGCCAAGTACTCGGCGCATGAGGAGAGTCTGCTTAAGACCCGCAACAAACGAGGGGCACTTAAAAGATGAAACATAAAACGGAGCCCCAGAAGCCCATAAAAAACACATTGTGCCGGGGCCGCACTTGAAAGGCAACTGCTTACCCCACCGCCGACATTCTATTTTTTTTACCTCCCAGGCACTGCAAAAAAATTAGATTTCGCCAGGGTTGTGGTTACATTTGTAATCCAAGAAGGACAGATTGGTAATAACCTGGTTTCCATAGGGGGAAAAACAAAGAATAAGCAATAATTGATTTATAAGAAATGGAAGTTGAAATTGAGTTTGGGGCTTATGATTACTGATTTTACGAGCAAAGCTATAGCTATAGAAAAAAGCTATAGTTTTCCCAGTGTAGCCTTGTCATATAGGACAAAGAAACATTTGCTTTGTGCAACGTAAAGGGCTGCCATAAAATTGCAGCATAAAAATAAAAATTAAACCACTAAACGCAGACCAAACGCGCCCGACCGCCTCAAGTCCAGGCATCGTCCCTGACTTTTAAGTTCCCTTGGCATCGCCTCCGCCCCCAACTTTTCGTCCGCCTTCCCCGATTGATTTGACTTCATGAAACGACCCCAAGGGCAGGACCTCACGTTTAACGGAGATAAGGGTGTGCACCCTAATGATATTCAATAATAATACATGCGCATAAAAACCACTTGCGACCCACCGCTTACCGCCCAAAGTCGTCAACATTTCAGACATGCTCCGGCTGTGCCTTCAGAATTTAATGTGCTTATAATACCGCCCGCTGGCTCCTTGCCATAAACAGATGCAGTCCTCACTCCAGCTAAATCCCCACACCCATCCTCATCCTCATTCCGATCCCGATACCGATTCCAATTCGAATCGGATACGCCACACACGCAGGCAGCACACACACACACCCCTCGACACATTTTTAACAGCAAATGATGTCAATTTTCATGCCCGCCAAGGACGGGAGGACAGGACCTCCTAGGTCCTCGGCGAACTCTCCCCAGAAGGAAATGGCTTCGGATATGGCAGAGTAGCGCTTTGTTGTTCTATCGAAAATTGAACTTAATTGGTGCGTGAAGTGTGCACTGAGTGGATTTGATGGCAGCCAGGCAACTATTGTAGTCGGGCTGCAAATTTGTCAGCACCCACTGCGCCGCTGCCTCTTCGATTCCAGCCGCCCTCTAAGCCCATTCACCTGGCCTCATTATAATTTGCCAGTCGACGAGCAGAGGAAGCTATGGAATTGGACAAGAGCCGCCAAAAACGAGGGCGGAATTTAAAGAAAAACTGCCGGAAGGAACCCTTTTTATTGTGGGAACGAACTTAATGTCTAACCTTGTTATTCATAAAAAGGATCAAATTAAAATAGGACAAAATGAATTCCTGTTTTGACAGAGGCCCTGCATTTTAATTAACAAACGTATGGTTGTGATACTTAATGTGAAATACTTATCATACCCGGAAGTCTATTAGAAGGGGGTGCCATTCTTTTATCTAGAAATCTGGAAGTCTATATTCTTGGAAATCTCTTTTTCATCAAAGACATAAGCCCCAACATCAGAGAAAATTAATTGCCAGTATGAGCCCCAATTAAAATTTAAAATCAAAAAAATGGTCGTTGGGATGAAAACAATGTAATGGACAAATGTCCAAGTCGCCCCAGGTGCTGATGCTGCAACAGAAGTTTTGGCAAGTAAGTACACATTTGATGCCATCAGAGCGTGGCTAATTGTTGTAATTGTTCCCCACATGGTCGGATGTTTTATCGTCCGCCGCAATAGGGGAACTGAAATTTGTTGCCGGAGAAAGCATTCGCAATCCTTTCGTCTGTAGGTGAGCCCGGCTATCTGTGTAATCCCATCATGCCTGGCAATCAAATTAATTTGCCATGCCCCAGTTTGCCACGAAACGGCCGAACAACCCTCGTGGCAGGACGACTTCCAGACAGACAACTCGAGTTCTGGGCCAAGAGGTAGGAGACAGGAGGCAGGAGGCATGGCATCCAAGCTGATTAGCATAAATTCGTCTATGTCGTTGCTGGCAACGTTGTCGTCTTTTGTCAACGTGTCTGGCATGCCAAGTTGAAAAAGTTTGCCTGTTTCCCAGTAAGAAGATGGCCGAGGGCGGGGCTCCAAGAACCGGGAGCCGGAAAGAAAAAGGAGCAGGAGCAGTCACGGACTTCGGGCCACGGCCCTTGCCTGGGAAACATGTGTCACTGGGGCCTGTCTGCTTATTGCACGACTAATGTCACTTGCAGGCAGTCAACAAAAGGTAGCCAAGGCAAACTTCCTGGCACAAAAGCTTTTTAGACTGCGAATGCAAGTGCTGGAATTTCTTCGGCTCAATGGGGATGCGAAATTATTTCCATGCCACCGACATGGCCGGGCGAAGGACGACGAGCGGGCGGAAATAGACGAAGGACGACGGAGATCCTTGGCTGTGTGAGCTTTGCTTTGAGAAAAACAATTTAAAATTCTGGATTAAAAGCAGGTAACTTATACTACAGTTCTGAAAAGCTTACATTGCTTGGAAAGTACAGAAAGTAGTTGGGACTTTTAATTGAGGAATGTTTTAGTTTAAAGTTTAAAGTAATTTCTCTCAATGGAGGTTACCCTTCGCTGGACGGGACAGCTGGAGATCCCTAACTGGATTACCGGTGCGATTACGGTAACAGCGGAATGCATAATCCCACGCGTTGCATCAATTTCTCATCTTCAACGACCCATTGTTGAGGTCTTTTTAGGGCTTTCCTCGTTCTAATTAACGCAGTTACCTCCTGCCACAGCCCTCAGGAATTCCTCAAGTGTTGCTGGGGCGTCGACTTGTTTGCGATGGCATTATTGTTGCGGGGCTCAGGTTCAGCGGCATTCCCGGCATCTGAGGAAGGAGAACCCGGACTGTTGGGTACTAATCATATTTTAGTGCGGTCCAACTAATTGCGGACGGGGCTTTAAACGCCCGTTTCCCCGGCTATTGACACACACAACCCCACACTGGAGAAAAGATGTGGTAAGGACGCAGGTAGGACAGGGGTAGAGCAATTTACACCTGAGATCTGTAAACTCACAAAGTATTGTAAAGCAAGCTGAGATGTTGACAAGGTTCGACGTATGGATACCGTGCACTAAATCATGCATTATATGAAGGTACTTCCTACTTGATTAGTTCACAAGCCATAGAATACAAACCCATGCAAGTCGCATAACAAAAAAACAGGGTATTGATGAGGAGCCAAGAAGAGTAGCCTGGCTCTAAAGACGTGTTAATGAAGCAGACATGCGGCCCAGAACCCCAAGAGCTGAGTCGTGGTCCTCGTCATCGTCTTGCTTTTTTGGGCCGGCGATGTCGTCGGCGCTGAATGAATTTGTATAACTTGCAAATCATGTTGACTGACGAGGAACATCGTGATGTGCAGAGTGCGGAGACCTGGGGCCTGGAGCATGGGCTTGGGCCTGGGCCTGGGCTTGGGACCCCTCCGACATTTACTTTGGCCAGGCAAAATTTGAAAAAGTGTTGAGCGTAGAGTACAAACACCCAATCATATTGTGCCATGCATATTATGAAAATACGGCGGGGGACGATCGAGGGCCAGAGAGCGGTCGGGGGTTGTCTGTTCTACTAAATCAACATCATTAAGTTTTCTGTTTATAAAGAAAACACTCGAGCATCGTTTGCGAGCTCTTCTTTCCCCTGGAGTTCAGTCTTCAGACTTCTTCGGTCTTCAGCTTATTGCTCTGCCATCGCCGAGTATTTACACAAAGCGAAGATGCGTGCCGTGTTATTTTAGGCTGGTTCCATCACGGCCAGCGAGGAGACTTCAAAAAGCGATACAGCCAAGTGCCAAACACAAATTAGTAATAGCCAGGCCGAGCATAAAAGTCCCAAGAAAGTGAAGTGAAGTTTCCTACATATTTGCCCAGCCATTTTACCAAAGCCAGCAATGCATTCGAAAAGGTCGAGGTTTCTAGAGTCAATCGGAGTTCCCGATCTTCCATACAATGTTTTCGGCACTTGGAAAAACTATTTAAATTAATTTAAAGTTTTAATATATATTTTAAGTTACAGATGTTGTACCTAAAGTTAAATCATTTCGGTTCCTTTATGAGAATATTATTCCATCATATCACTGAAAGTATGGTGATACGATATGGTTCCGTTTTCGTCGGTGTATCTTTTGGCTGCCCCAGACATCCATTATGTGTGTCGAACGGGCGGTGCAACAAAATGCGAGGGAAAAATAAACAACAAAGTCACGAAATTGTTTATACAATAAATAAAATGCGCGAGTGTGTGGAGCGGTGGGTCTGCGCCCCGAACAGCAAAAGTATCTTAAAGATACAAACAAGATGCGAGCATTGGCGCACGCATGCCGAACATGCCATCTCCCAGGACGTTTCTGCATCGCTCAGATACTTAGCAATCGCTCGGTTAGATGCGCGCATCTCCACTTGTATGCGGCTCAAATTACAAGCGGGCAAATGTTTAAATACTTGAGTGCCGAACACATGAGCATATTAACTTTTACTCTGCTCTCGGTCCGCACTGTTCGGAATTGTCAACACGACAATTCACTTAGATGTGCAGTTCCAACTGCTGCCACTTTCTGACACTTTTCCCCGACTCCCTATTCCGGCATCCTTCGGAGCAGATGCAGCCATGTCATTAGAATTCATCCGCTCCTTCTCGTCGCCCGATTTCTTGGCGCCCCGAGGAAAACAGACAAACTCACACAGCGAATTGTTTCCGAATGCGGGAACGCCCAAAAGTTGGCAAACACCCGCTCGGTTCAGCCGTTATCTGCACTTGTGTGGCCAAAACTTGCACACTTTTATCTTCCGAGGGAAACTTCCTATGAAAAACTATCCTTAAGGTTGTCTCGCTTACCAGAAAAGTACCAAGATTACAAGTATGTATGTTCTATACATATCTCATGCAATAACAATGTCACACATTTGAATTGGTTTCTGTTTTTTTTGGAATCTTTTATCTATTTTTATACTTTTTATCTATTTTTTACTATTTTTATTAGCATCAGAGTTTAACAGTGAAAACATTTTAAACGAGCTAAGATTCAAGAACTAAGATTTTTATGGACAATTCATTTTTATTTTGTATTTAAGCTACTTTCTAAGAGGCATCTTCCCAGGTTTTTTTATTTTAATAATTTATTTCTTTATTTATTTATTTTAATAATTTTTTTTCTATATTTATTTTCAAAGAACATTTTTAGGCATTTGGCAAAATATAATTCCCGAAAATTTCAAAGCCGTAAAATAGACCATTTCTGTTGACTAATTTAATGACCCAGAATAATCAAAAGCCTTCGAAATCCAGTATCCAAGTTCTGGAAAATAGTTCGATCAGTCATCATCCGTTGGTTTATCAACCTTCACATCTATTGTGATTTTGATTGTCGCAATTCAAATTTGCCCGCTCAAGCTCTGTTAGTATTTAACAGAAATGTCCTCTGTTAAATTTTAAACATAAAAAATCCCAAAATTAACAGAACACTTTTTCAATTTTACAACACTTTTAAAATTTTTGAAATTTTCCAACTTTTTATTGCAAAAATAACAGTCAGAAAAAAAAATGTTAATGATTGAGCCTTTTAACAGAGCTTTAACAGTGAAAAATCCGCTGTAAAAAAATTATCTGCTGCTCCAAAAAGTATAATTTATAATTTGTTCTGTTAATTTTTAACAGTAGTTTTTCTCTGTTAAATTTTTAACATTTTCCGTTTAAATGAAAAGCCACCACGTGATGGCGCCTCCGCACGATTCATGATGGCGCTGTTTCAACGGTGGCCGGTAGATGAAGCTGGAAATGGAGGTAAATTTAAAAACAAATATTTATCTAAATTAATTTCCTCCTAATTTAAACTTTAATAAATTGTTTATATTCAAAATTGCTAATACATTTTTATTTAGTAAATTTTTCTTTAAAGAAATTTACTTTATTTTTAAATTTATTTAAGGAAATACTATGGAAATTATTATTAATTTTAGTATTATGTTTTTCCATTATCAATTAACTTGACTTGGTGACACCTCATCCTTAATGGCTCTTGACATTCAAATCTCTTCAAAATCAAACCCCCAAAACGATACATTTTTATCCACATAGCACTTTAATACTTGTATTAACGAAAACAATTAAATAGACCTTAAACTAGGCTTATTCTCTAGCATCTGATGGGTCTAAGCCTAGTCGACGTAGAATTGCTCGATAGGAACGTTCTTCAGGAGCTGGTTGGCCAGTTTTCCGAACTCGCTGGCCAATTTCTTCTGCAACTGGGCCTGCATGGCCTCCAAGACGATTTGCGAGTTTTCGCGCAGGAACAGATTCGTGGCCTCGACTGCAGAAACAAATAGAAATTTATTATTTGTTCACAAACATACAAGCAAATAAACTTACGCAGGATGCGATTGTTGTTGAAGGCACCTGATATGCTCATCTTGACATCCTTCACATCCAGGACCAGACTCAGGCCATCGATGTGCAGGTAGTTACCTCCCTTGGCCGCGTGCACGGATGTCTTTCCGGTGAGGTCAGCGCTCACTCCCTCGAACACGGCATGGAAGTCTCCGCCTCCGGAAGCCGGCAGGATCAGAAGGACACCCGAACTGGTGTACTTGGCCTCAATCTTCAGCTTGGGCATCACAATCTTGGCCTTGAAGGGCTCGCTGCCTTCGCTCAGCTTCAGAGACTTGACCTGGAAGTTGCTGGCTCCAAAGGCCTCCATGTTCTTGAGGGTAATCTTATAGCCCTGAGGTCCTTCGGTCAATTGTAGAGCCAGAGTGTCCATCTTGAAGGGTTCCACAGAGGGAAGCTGGAAGAAATCAATGTATCAGAGTATGAATTAAAATATTTCTATCTTTCTTCCACCGTCTAAAAATCATTGATAGGCAGATTTTCCCCAACTCTTATACCACTGTTGTGGCAGTCGACTATTTCCCTAGCTTTTCCCGCGAAAAACACAATTATGCAAGTACGAAAGTCCCAGTGACTTCCATTTGATTTGCATCTTATGCAACTGCAACCCGTTTGCAAACGAAAAACGGGGCAAGAAAGTCGAAAGGAAAGGTGCGAAAACTAATGGACCAAATGGGAAGGCCACTCACCTGGATTGCAGGAATGCCTTCGGCCAGGTAGGGCTTCAGGTGTTCGATGGCCCCAATGAAGCAGTCCACCAGCTTTGGGTCATCTCGACGGCACTGTTTGATATAGGCAGCTGCAAATAAATACAAAATATATATATTCTTTGTTATTCATCACTCAAAAGTGCAAATAATATTGAAGATCAACAGAAACCGCAACTCTGCCAGTTTTAATTCCTGTAAAGTTCATCGACTCTGAAGACGAGATCGAAAATAAAAAATAATAAGCTTGGACTTGGAATGGCCTCCAACCAGCCAGATCAAGATCGAGATAGGAATCAAGATCTCGATTTCAGATTCGGTTTCAGTTTCAGTTTCGTTTCGGTTTTGGTTTCGATGGCAAGGTTGCTGCCGCACGTTCGGCCGATAAGTGCAGCTCTAGAACCTGTTGTAGCCGCGATTCTGGGGCACATGACACAGTTTTTGTCGTCAGTCAGTAGCTGGTTTATCAATATCAATACCATTATGCTCTCGGCTGTGTGATTAGTGCCATTCGCTGGCAAGGCAAAAATTTCAAGTTGAAGGCTGTTCAACGGCCACGGTTCGTGTTAATTAAATATGGATTTGGTTCAGAGTCTGCATTTTGATGGGCTTACATTTGGGCATTTGGCTTGATATGCGATGATATGCGGCGCGATGCGATGCGGAAGCGAATCTTTGTTGACATTCGACGGAGCCCCCAGCCGGGGTTGTCCCCCTTTTCAGTCATTTATCAAACAAAACCGTGTCGCCGATCGCAATTAGCACTATGTTTCATATTTTTGTTGGCTTGATAAGTGGCCAGACTTAAGTATCTGGCGATAAACTTGACATTTGACATATTCCCGAAGCTGCCAATGCATTCTTTGTACACAACAAGTGTGAAAAGCTAATAAAAGCGCTAATTAAGAGTTTACTGAACACCGAATCTTGGATGCCTTGAAACTATCCATTAGTTAACATTTAGATATAATCGATCTTTCTAGCATAGAGTAATTTTAGTGTGAGATAAACCTGCAAAACTAATGGCTTGTTTACTTTAGAGATCAACAGTTCATCGCAGGTGATAAAATTTGTGAAAATATCAACAAATTAGATAACAAGTGATTCCATAAGCGTGAAAATAATTTATAATTGTCTGAAAACCTCTAAGAAAAAGCAAATACGACTAGCTTGACTGTAAGTCATTTTTTAAATAGCTAGTCCTAAATCCTTTAATTAAGATTTATTTGAAAACTTACGGGTCTCAGCCTGAACCAACAACAGGGTCTGCAGAACAAGAATAAGGCACACGGATCTCAGCATTGCGGCTATTTAATATCACAATTGATCGGCTTAGATAGGAGTTGAAACTTTAAACGCCACGGGGATGGGTAGATGTTTTTGTGAAACTTATTTGTGCACTTTGGGGTCTTGGTAGTTGGTCCAACGTCCGTTAACGCGAAGCTGAGAACGCAAACTGCGAGCCAGTCGCCGGTCGATCAGCGATTTTAAAGGCCCGTTGGGGAAAATAAAACGAGATGCAAACCAAGTCGGAGCTCAAGTCCCGACGCCAAAGTCGGCAGAGAACTTCAACTTTGCCGATCTGGGGGGTATAGCGGATGGGTCCGAGTGGCTCAGTGACTGACTGACCGAATGCCCAGCTGACTTCTTGGCTTTTTCGGTTTCTTTTGCTTCTGTGCAATATTTTGGCTTGTTTGCCCATTTGTCGAGTGCCGTAAAAAGTAATAATTAAGCAATTCTATTTTCGCAATCGCCTGCCTATTGAGATGCAGTTTACTGCCTGCAACCTGCAACCTGCAACTGCAAGAATTGTCGGTCAGCGCATCTTCACACGTGGCCAACCTTCTACAAACTGACCACAGAAAAGCCCTGGCTACAACTCATAGTTGTGGTCGAAGGAGAATAATCATTAACGACTAAAAGATGCAATCTTAAATCTCGATTCGTAATTATAAGTGACATCTTAACAAGCTTGAAATATGTCTTCAAAAACAGCCATAATCTTAAAAATTTGTACTGCTTCCTTTTATTCTGGGCATGACCGTCAAAAACCTTGATACACTGAACAGAATCTGTATCTTCTTGGAACCGGAACAAGGTAAGCTGGCCGAGTAAGCTCGTTACCTGTGGTAGTGACAATATCGCCACCTCCATTGCGGCTCTAATTAAAAGTTTGCGAGTCTATGCGGCACTTAATTGCCCATTAGAGTACGTTATAATACAGTGTTTGCTTTTGAGGTAGGCTTCAATAGACAAGATCTGAATAGAACTTCTGAATACTCTAAGGTAGGTATTTTATAGTTGTAAGAAGTAAGATCATTTTTTGTAATGATTAGCTTGGCATTTTAAAGGTGATTGCCAACATCCCTGTCACTACTGACTCATATTTACAATTAAACAATTTATATGCTTGTTTATTATCACTCAATTAAAACTGCATACTTGCTTTAGAGATTCACTAACTTTTACTCCGAGATCTTCGCAATCATTTCCTCACGCAGTGTGGCGAATGAATTATTCATGGATCGAACAGGTTGGGAGCAGAGATCTATGGTTCTGGGAAGATTCCTGCTAGACCAGTATCTATAAAATTATATAATTTGCCGACAGTGAGTAAGCGAAAGTCTAAAAGACCTGGCAACCGAATTAATAAACACAATTAAAGGTCTAGGTGAGAACTTTCAGATTCTTTTTCGTAGAATTTGGTGGGAAAACTAAAGTACTTACTCTTTGCCCTGTGAACGGAACGAACTGAACTCTTAAACTGTTTACAATGGCCCTGAACACGAACAAATAGAGTTTGGGGAAGTATCTGCGGCGAGCACTTATTTGTCATACAAAAGCCAAAGCCTCTTCGCCGATTCTAAAGGCTGTTGAAATGTCTGCCGCACAATGCGAGTAAATACGGTTTTAAATACATCTCATTTTCTATATCTATCTGCACAAAAGGTTGGCGGAGAATAATGGCAAATGCGTTGCGGAAAACATTTTTCAACTCTTATTGTTTCATATCAGCTATCATTGTTTGTCTAATTCTGAGGAAAATATAAAGGAATTACACAAAATACATTACCTAAATGAATTTGGAAATGGGCAAGTTTTATCCATTAAAACAAATGGAATCTTTCTACGTATTTTGGGATAATTAAATTTACAAATTCAAAGTCACTCTAAACGGGCAAAAAAACGTAATTTTCCTAGAAAAATAAATCTTTTTGGCAAAACGAGTTCTCCCATTAAGAACCACTTTCAATCTTAACTCAGACCTTATAATTTAATTCGCACTTCGTCAAGCCATCCACTTCCCTGTGACCCAGTAATTTGTTGTTCCATCCGGATATACAAACAATGTTGAAAGGGATTCACAACTGCATCCACCTTGACCTTGAGCCGAGTCAATGGCCAGATACACAACCACTCAGATACACACTCACACCGATGCGCCTATTCTACATTCAAAAACCTCTTTTGACTCAAGATGAAAGCTAATTTATCGTGGCATACTTTTAGGGGTAAGACTTACAGTGACGGCAAGAATAATTGATAATGGTATAAAGACTATATATAATAGGGGTACTATATATTCTAAAATATAATAATACTTAATATAATAGTAAACTTTTCATTAAGAAATCCTTTTAATCATCAATTCAAAAAAAATGTCACTCCCCTATCCAATAATAATATTTCAAAATTATTTTAAATTTATTAATTATTACATTTTTGTATTTCTCAGTTTAATAATATACAAACACCTCAGCCAACACTTCCTCTTGAAAATATACAATTTAAATGCAAAACGCACAATAGCCAATAAATGAAAATATTCTCGACAGCGGCGCATAAAGTTCTCTGAAAAGTTTCGAAGACAATTGCATATCATTTTGAGGGCTTGTCTTCGATTTATGAATGAGTTGTGAGTAACTCGTCAAATAAACAATTCTGATTTATTAGGGTTAACACACTGGCTGGTATGAAGACCCTGGCTGTTTGCTTGTTTGGATGTGTGGCTGGATAATGACTGCCCATTATGGCGCTCGGTTCTAATGACACGGCTTGACCTTTTTGGCCACAAGTGGAACCGAGCTAGAAAGGAATCTGCAACACAAAAAGGTGAGACAACAGGCAGAGGGACTAATCCCAGCTTGTAGACTCTCGCTAATGATGCTTGGATGATTTAAGACTGTCTTATTACCAGGCTACAGTCTTTACCAGGCAGTGGGAGGCTGGGCTCCGAGTCACAGACCCTTTTAACTTAACCTTCAGAGTACCCATCCCAGTGCGTGCTTACGATTGCACAGGGAGAATTACTATTTTCTTTATTATGTTTTATGATATTTATAAAATAATATGGATGGGTAATTGCAAAAAAATCCTCCCTGTGCAGCGACGACGACCTGTCTACTAAGTACACCCCGATTTCTGGGGTGTGGCAGAGGGGCCTTTTGTTCGTCTTTCTTTCTCTGGCTCTTTCGCTGCATTTTCGTTGGCGCTTTCGAGCCGACTTCTTGCTGGTTAAAATGGCTTGGACCAGGGCATGGCGAGCTCATTCCTCAGCCAAGTCGCGAGAAAGTTGGACGCAAAGTAAGCGCACCCGAAGAAAGCAGCAGAAGACGGTGAAGACGGTGTACCCACAAGACCGACCGAGGACCGAAGACAATCCGATACTTTATTCAAGAACAAACAGTGAACTGGTTGTAGGTCTGGGCTGTGACCCACTTCCATACTCCAAAACGAAAGAATTTCCGCTCCAAAGTGAAACCGGGCGCTGATTTTCGATACCGAGCTCAAAATTCTTTCCCAACTGTTTTCGCTTTCGCTCGTAAAGACGGACCTGCTACGTCATCTAACTGAAATTAGCATATATCAATACGAACTGACCAACGGACGGAAGAGAGTGGGCCAAAACGTGCTAATCAATTACGAAACTAGCCAAAAGTGAAACACTAATCAATAATTTCGTTACTTGTACTTTCATGCAGACGAACCATAAAATGTCTCGCAAAATCGGATTCATTGTGCTCGTCGCCATGCTGGGACTGGCCATTGCCCAGGAGCAGCGTAAGTAGTGATCAAACTATATAATCGCCAGACGGATTTGGCCGTGGCTTTCTCGGCCACGGGTTACATCAAACGAAACACACACTTTCCAGCCAGTCCTTAGACACGTTCGCCGGCCAAACAGCCAACCGGCTAACCGACCAGGCGAAGAGGGCTAAGTGGCCCTCTAAATTGGCAGTAATTAATTGCCACCCCAAAGACGTGCCTCGGCAACAAGAAAGTCGGCTATTGTCACAACTGGCTCTGAAATAGTTTCCAGAAAAGCCATATCGCAGGTTAATAGTTCAGGTTCTGCGGTTCTTTACCCGGTTTTTGCAATCAAAACTAAAGATTTATCAGAAAGCCGGGTATTAAATTTTTTAATTTTTCCAAAAATTCCACTATTGGTACTATAAAATCATAAATAGAGTTCTGCAAAGCCTCGTGTTAGATATCTGTGAGATTAACTTTAGAATGTGGTTTTGATGCTTATAATTTCTTTAAAAAAGTTGTCTAAGCAATTGAGTTCAACCAAAATCCAATGCTCAGTCAAAAGTCTATTGCCATATCCTCGCTATTGTCAGGTTTGTTAATTAACCCGGCAATAAACCTGTCACCGGTAGCAGATATGCGACTCATATGGCAGGCTGAACATGTTCACAGCTATTATCTGTTGAGAGATCTGCCAGGTAATTGTAACTTGAACCCCACATCAACTCACGCATTCACCTGGGAATCGCAATCGCAATTAACCGGCGAGCGAATCTTCAACTTTATTGTGAGCCTTTGATTAATTCAGCAATGCACTTGCTACTGCACTGACTGGAGACAATGCCTCCATGAGTAGGCAAATCTCAGCAATTAGGGAGCATTGCATGCAGTATTTGTCTCATCTATTGTCTGACCAACCAATGTGATCTCCTCCAGCCTACTACCTGCAACAGTGCCCCCGGGACGAGGCCCAGATCAACGAATGTTTGAAGGAAAGTGGCAACAAATTGGTCCATTACTTGCAGAAGGGAGTGCCCGAATTGGATATCTATGAGGTGGGATTCAACTTGCATTTATTTTGAATAAAAATACATCATTTTGATCACCCATTTACAGATCGAACCCGTTCAGATCGACGAAATCGGCATTGTCCTGGGAAGTGGCCCAGATGGATATCGTGCCCTCTTCCGGAACATCCAGGCCTACGGAGTGAGCAACATTACTGTCACAAATGTCCGGTAAGTTAGAACTAATTGCGAGTATTGTGCCTTGCCCTTCCTTTGAGATTGTTTGAGACGTTGAGTGTTTGGGTCACGTTGGCTTTGAACCGCATCTCACACTTAAAGTGTCCATACATCATGATTGAGGAGTGGTGGACTACCTTGGGGCTAAAACGAGTTGGCCGAACAATTGGCTTAGCATTGCAGTTGAACTTTTTCATTGATCCTCCGATTTTTAGGCTCTATTAAAAAGAAAAAAATTTCTATATTCCTAAATATTTCTTCTTCCATTTCCTAGAACTATCAATCAGTTCTCTTAAGATTTTTATAGTTCATTATGGTTAGAATAGCACATGAAATTAGGTTGAAAATCATTCAACATTAATTGATTGAATTTATTAATTTTTATTGGATGCCATTTAGAGCAATCCAAGTTCCCTATTTATCTGCAATTCCATAACCTTTATTATAGTTTTATTGACTGCTTAGTGAGTCAGTGAGTCAATCGGCTTGTCAACATTGTGGAAGAGCGTTTAAGTGAGCTCAGTTTCCGATCGGTTGTAAAGGGGTTTGCCGTAGCCTCGGCTTTGGCCCAAAGCTCACTGTTTTGATTTACGACCGAAACGTTTCGCACACGCTCCGATCGATTGAGCAATAACCGATTTGCATTTCAATGGTTGGCCATTCTAAGCTGAACGTTTTACGAGTATGTTTGCCGAGTTTGATTTGCAATCTTGCGGGATTTTTATTGAATTATAATATAAACGCGTAATGCCCCCAGCTAGGTGTTTGCCCATTTCGTTGAAGCACTGATTGTGGGCAAGTCATAGACTTTTCAAGAAATTTATAAATAAATAAAGTGGTTTACAGGAAAATTCTAATTGAATTTATTAAACTAAATAAATTCATTATTTAAGTGTTTTACGAGAAAATTAAGTCAAGTAGATGTTCTTCGAATCATATCATCCCACCAAGTTTCCCACAAATCGATATAAAATATTTATTTCAAGAACAATTTATTTGAAAGATCGTCTAAGCTTCTGTCCGTTATTGAAACCCAGTTTTCATGCCCCAAAAGCAATTGTCATTGATGTCCACAGATCGTTTTAACTGTACGATTATGCAACATCCAAAGCCAAGAACACTTTTAGTTAAGCTTTCCGGTATTTGGAACAACAGAAACGTCCAATGGCAGCCGACTATAGACTCTTGGCACTCAATTGGCGAAAAATAAAAGAAGCCAAGACAAGTGGCAACGACGGGCCCACAGATCGTTGACCAAGAAACGAGCCAGAAAAGTGTGCCAACTTTAGATTCTAGAAGTGGAGAGCAGTCTTTGGACCGGTTTTACCCATCGGTTTCGGTTTCACTTGTGCATTACACCCTGGCAAAAGGTATTCCAAAAGAAAATTGCACATAGCTAGTCGGTCTCGAAAGCAAATGTAGTAGATGCATAAATTAAATTCAAAAAAAGGTTAATTTTCAGGAAATTTAGCTTATACCTTAAGACTCCTTTGAGTGTATTTGATAATTCGTTATCTTTTATCAATTTTCCAAATGTCCAATGAAGGTCAACCAGTTGCAACTATATTTAAACTGTTCTCTTGTTTATCAAATCTTTGATTTAAGAGACTTTCAATGTTAAACACATGGTATAAAAAAGCGACTGCTCATCCTCAACTGAAATGAATGAAATGGCAGTTTTACGCAAAACTCATTATCACTGTCATTGCCATTAAATGTGCGCATTAATATCTTTATCTCTGTGTCACCTGCAGCTCCGACTTGGACTCGCTTCAGTTCCAGCTGACGTGCGAGATTCCGCGGATTCGCGTCAAGGCTCAGTACAGGTCTACAGGTGTGCTGATCTTGGTGAAGGCCTCCGGAGCCGGCGACTACTGGGGAGAGTATGGTGAGTATTGTGGAGAGATACCTCCTATGCACTGCCAAGACTACTAATCCTTGGTATTGCAGAGGGCGTCAAGGCCAAGATCTACTTCAAGGCCCTGGCCAATGAGGGAGCTGATGGTCGTACCTATCTAACTACCGATTCCGTCAAAATGGACTTCAATGTTAAGGAAATTCAGATGGGAGTGGACAACATCGCCAATGGCAATTCTGTCATACGTGAGTATATCAAACTATTTCAAAATGAGACCAATTTTATAATGTTTTCTATCTTATAGAGGCTGCCCTGAATCTCTTCATCAACTCCAACTCCCAGGAGTTGCTCAAGGAAATGAAGCCGGCGCTGAGAACCAAGCTCACCCTTGTTATTCGCAACTTTATGGATCGCATTTTCGCCAAAATCCCTCTGGATGAATGGATCAACCTGAACTAGATTGTAGACGCCCTAATATAAGCCCTAATTTATTACAAAGAGTTCAAGCTAAATAAACTATTTAAACAATATCATTTATGGGTCTTACTTAATCCTGGAACCTCGTAACTCCAGAAAAATAGTTGAATATAATCCGATTTGAGCATTAGGCAACTGGAATCAGGGTTATCATTAGATGCACGTTCGGTCGGCATGCAAATTTAAGGTCTTGGACATCAGAATGAATGAAAAATGTGGGAAATCTGCCAAGATATTTTATATATTCATGCCTTTTTGGAAGCGACACAGAAGCTTCATTGTGCTCGCTGTCGTAATTTCTATAATGTCATCATTTGAAGTTATTTAACTTGTTTTAAAAAGATTTACATATTCTATACAACTGTTCAAAGTTTATGAATCTCTAATTTGAGATTCTCATTTTGATTAAGTTTAGCAATGGAGCCTTCCCCTCCCAGAAGAAAAAGCACACACTTGGAAATTCCACAGGTAAATAGAAGATTCTGAATAGGCTTGTCATTTTCTTACCACACTAGATTGGGTAACTAAACTGTGAATGGGCCATATTTAAGCTCACATATTGCGTACGTCTCTCTGGGACAAGGTCTGGAAAACGATCTTTACTTTGTATCCGAATTGCGTGCACTCTGGCAATTTTCCGAAATCCATAATCAGCCGCCGCAACGAACCATAGCCAGTAAATGCCTTGATCCCGGGTCGTTTCAAGGCGGGGAAAGCTTTTCGCCACCGGACGGATAATATTATATTATACAACTCCAGAGTTAGCAGAATATCATCACACGACCCCCACCAAAAGATGCTTGAGTGGCGTGATTGCGACAGGCACGACAGCGACTAGAACGATCTGCCCGGCCCCCATTCCACTGTTTATAGTAGCCTCTGCCCTCGACGCCACTGTTTTCGCTGCTCTGGTGACAATCTGACCCTTGACTTTCAACACAAGGAAGAACATGACAGCTCATTAGATCAAAATTAAAGTTTCCCCAATTATGAGTTAAAGTATCTCTCAACAGTTTATATATTTCTCTTCTAAAGCTTGGGTTAAACATCAATATTTAAATATTGGGAAATTATCTGGAACTAAAAGACTCTTACCATGAGGTTAGTTTCCGGTATGACCTACAGTCTGCATTTTCCCCCGACTAATGTGTAATTTTCCCGACCGTCTATATCTGGGCATTGGTGTCACTGAGATACATTTGTGTGGACGCAATCGCCACAGACTTTATTATTATTATTATTATTTAACAACGACTGCTTAGTGTCGTTGGAGCCCTCTCTTTCTCGCTTTCAGCCGAGGGGACAGCTGAGTCTAGTTGTCTAAGCGCTGCCAACATGCTTACCTGGTGATTTTCGTGGGTTAGGGGGTGTTCTACGAGTTCTAGCTCGTGTGCTTGACTCCGCGACTGGCTGGCCCAAGCTCTCATGTAAATCGTAGTGTCATTTTTGCTATAAAACGCGCCGGTCTCAACAATTTTGCATTCAGTAAGATCCGTTGACGGTTACTAAAGCATCACCCCGGCTCGTACAGCAGCGAGAACGTTGAGCAGCCTTCGACACAAAAATATATTAAACCAGTGCCAAAACAAATAATTGCAATTTTAATTTAAAGTTCGACAGTTCTGAATTGTGTAAGTTCGTACGGTGGAAACAAATATGTGATGTATCCTTGAGAAAAGGGTTAAAAAATCAAATATACTGTGAAAGTTACAAGAAAAAAAGATTAGTCCTTTATTGTACAACAAGGACTTCCCACAGATTTTTTTCCTCCATAAAACTCAGCTTTTATTTTTATTTTAATGGCACATTTTCGACCGTGTTTGTTGACTTTATGTCCATTCATAAAAACGTCAAGTATTTACAATTATAATTGTAAAGAGCTCCCGATCGAAATCAATTACATGCCTGCTAATAAAACGGGCTCCAGATGACCGTAATCAGCCGGTTTAGAGACTCCTCCCACTTATTAGACTGCGTCGCAGTGAAATAATGACTATAACCAAAACCCATTCCGAGATGTTGCTGAAATAAGAGGGTGGTTTATTTTGGGGAGGGTTTCTAGACTTAGTTGTAGAGGTTAATGGACGTCTACTGTCACGATATGACGCCAGTATATATTATGAACTAGGCTTAAACTGTTGTGGATTATAGCCATGAATTGTGTAATTAAATAAGCTAAAAATATCTTTACAGAACTAACCGAAAAAATCAGAATGCAGTCCGCATACATTGTAGCCGCCTTAACGATCTGCTTCCTGGGCTTCAGCTCAGCAGGCAATATGCGTAAGTAGAATGTCTTTATGAGCTGTAGAAATTTGTAAATAAATATTTATTACCCAATTAGCTGACTACATCAAGGTGTGCCACCGAAATGATCCCGAGCTGTCTAAATGCCTGAAAACCAGTGTCCACAACCTGCGTCCCTATCTGGCTAACGGCATCACCGAGCTGAATCTTCCTCCACTAGAGCCCCTCTATATTGGGGATCTTAACATCCTGGACGGATCTAACGGCCTCACAGTCCAGGCCAAGAAACTGAATATTATCGGTGCCTCCAACTTCGAAATCACCAGGCTGCGCGCTTCTATGGAAAAGCAGCGCTTCGATTTCGAACTTATCCTGCCCCATCTCCACGGTGACGGTCTATATGAACTCAACGGAAACATCCTGGCGCTGCCCCTTAAGGGAAGTGGACCTTTCACAGGAAACTTTACCAACTTCATCGCCTACGTCAGGGTCCAGTACGATATCAAGAACGTGAACAACTTGGAGTACCTGCACCTGAAGGAGTTCGCCTTGAAAATCCGCACAGGCAAGGGAAGCCTTAAACTGGAGAATCTTTTCAATGGAGACAAGGTTCTGGGGGATGTCATCAACGACACAATCAACCAAAACTTTGAGGTCTTCACAAACGAGGTGATCGCCCCCATTGCCCGCGCTTTGGAGGAAAAGTTCCGTGTCATTACGACAAAGATTCTGGAGAACTTCACCTACAGCGAGCTGTTCCCCCTATAATCCGTATTCGAAATTCAGCTTTAATTTAGCTTGTGATACACTCGAATTGTTATAAATAGTCATAAAGTAATTAATAAACTTAAATTTTACAAATGTGACATTCTTAATCAACTTAAGCTTATATCATAGATGATCTAGAAACCCTAGTACCCTTTATAAAGTTTTGAAGAAAAAATATATTGTTGCTTAAACGAATCACATTATATTATTTTATTGTAAGATGCCTATAAGGTATTTTTGAAGGCAACATAGGTATTTCGGTATTTCGAAGCATTAGCCCACATATCTCTGCCAGCGTGGAGATTTGTCGCTATACCTTTTAAAAACACAACCAGTATAAAATGCCGCGAAATTTAAAATTTGCATAAGTGTTGCAAAACACGACTTTCATAGTTCTAAAACTGTGCGCCAGTTTCAGAGGCTCCCGTCTATCGATAGCCTTATCGATTGAAAACTTGTATTCGGCTTGTGAAATACATTTAATACTTCAGTATCTTCATTTTTATGCCAAATTAAATATAAGTTTCGCCTTAAAAATGTATGCGCTATACAGAAATAAATGTTTCCGTTTATGCAACTGCAATAACACTCCGGTAGATGGCGTAAATACTAGAGATGTGAAAGGCACTCGTTCGGACCGATGACGATTAGTATCATACCCTGCGAATCATCCCTGGCGAAACATTTTCTTACGCTGCTGCCGAGTTTGCCCTCAATTATAAATAAAATTACAAAATTTCATTGTTACCGTTGTTAAAATCTGCGCATCGCTCGGCCATTCACATTTACACTCGATACAAGTGGAATTAACGTTGTAAAAACATGTCAACACCCGCACGCAGACGTCTTATGAGAGATTTTAAAAGGTGAGAAATCGAGTCGAAACGGGGCGAAATGGAGGCCAAAAGCCAGGCGAAACTCGAAGTACACACATCGGGGGACTTCGCCTCGTCCTCCGCCCCCTTCCGAGGGGACTCGAAACGTTGGAGAAACCTGGGGGCCGCCTCTGCCCAATACATATGAGCAAATATACAGGCAGCCCCCATACGGACCACGTCTATATGTAGTGGAAAAGTTTGCGCAGCCAAAATGTGCCAGTGTATGGTGTATGTGTTCCTGTGTATGAGTGGTTGATTTTCGCTGCTTTTTACTTTTTACAACAACAACAACAACAATGGTGCTGGTTGTCTTTGACACTTGACTTTGATGTGGTTAGTGGCCGAGGAAAGCGAGAAAAACAAAAGCGAAGAGAAAAGGAAAATTCGAAAATTCAATCTGCGCAAACAAAACAAATTCCGTCCTCTGTCCGTCTTCCGTTGGGGCGAATTGCGTCGCAGACATCCGACATCAGAAGCATTAACAACAATAACAATAAACGGCTGACCGAGAGCGAAACATTTTTGTTGTTTTTGGTTGAGTCAGAATAGCAGCCAGCTGCAGAATCGCTCGCATCCTGGTCAAATGCCCCATCTCGCTCACACCCGCGCCCCCCACTTAACCTTGTTGACTCACGCGAAAGAGACAGAGCTCCCCATTTGGAATTTCGGAATTTTCATCATTTTGCGAATTTTGATCGCTAGCACGAGATTGCAAGCTGCACGGAATACAGCCGTGGGTTGGGGGGGGTGTAGCAGTGGAAAGCGAAATGTCAAGGCTGCGCCAAGGCTATGTGCGTGGGCGGGATGAATACTTCCTACCCCAATGCACTAACTGCACCCTTGCACCACCACCATGGCTGATTTTGTTTCGTTATCACGGCACATTATCCCTCTCCATTCTGCAAAGTTGTTTAATCGATGATGATTTCACTTGGATTGGGCCCACGTATCGATTGAAGCGGGTTGAAGGGCGCGGTTAAACGGGTTAGAACGCTCCCGCCTGCTTGTTGCGTTGACCTACATACATTTCCAGCAAATCTAATCCCGTTCAGATACCGTGCCAATTGGCAGTTCCAGAGAACTTTCCATTTTCATGCCTCCTAGAAGTGGTTTGGTATTTCATGTAAACAAAGCTTTGTAGGAATTATAAATAGTTTATGAAAAATTAGACAGAATACCTTTCGACTCTGTCTGGGTTTCTAATTTATGAATATCATTATGATGATTCTAACTTTATTTTCTTTGGGATATTTAATTTCCAAATTTCAACACTGCCGGTTGCCCTCCTTATCGCTTTTTTACGGAAGCAATGATTAGAAATTTGATAAAAAATGGTTATCATTATTTAAAACTAAATATATAAGTATTTAAACCTTATGTGTGATTCCAAACTTTGTTGACGCTGTTCTTTGTCAATGAGTATTAATATTCCACAAAAAAACACAGTTTCTTCAGTTTGTCATCATAATATTATTCGTGAGTCATAACTAAAATGATGAAATAATGAAAAACAAGTCATTCCGAATACCATAACAAAACTGGAATGAAATGGAACTTTTATTAAATTAAGAGATAACACTAGTATTAAACAAAAATGACAATGCTACTATATCCCTGTCTTTTTGTGTATTTTTTAGACTTCAAGAGGATCCACCAACGGGTGTTTCGGGTGCACCAACAGATAATAATATTATGATATGGAATGCTGTGATTTTTGGTCCACACGACACACCATTTGAGGACGGAACCTTTAAGTTAACCATAGAATTTACGGAAGAATATCCCAATAAACCGCCAACAGTTCGATTTGTTTCGAAAGTATTTCATCCCAATGTGTATGCAGATGGTGGCATATGCTTGGACATATTGCAGAATCGCTGGAGTCCCACATACGATGTGTCAGCCATACTTACATCTATACAGGTAAGCTAAACCTAATTTTAAAGATGGAAATATTTTAACCTCTTTTTTTTTCTATTCAAGTCACTGCTGAGCGATCCTAATCCCAACTCACCGGCTAACTCCACCGCCGCCCAGCTATATAAAGAGAATCGCCGCGAATACGAGAAGCGTGTGAAAGCCTGCGTGGAGCAGAGTTTCATCGATTAGCCATGCGCCCACTTTAGGAACAGCAAGAGCACCAGCATAAGCGGGAGCCACAATAGTAGCCGAAGCTGCGTGGGCCGATGCAGCTTAAAACATCAGCAAACTACAGCAACAAAAATATGCAATACCATAAAGAAGTTTAAATTAAATAATAACAGAAATATTTATGATAATTGTAATGCTATAAAATTGTAACAGCGCCAATGGCACGGCACATCAGCATATATAGACCCTCACCCGCTCGCAAAAACCAGCGCACACCCACTGTCACAGGGCAATTTTTAGTTATATTTGTTTGGCCGATAGTTTCGTTTTGTCCTTGAACCCTTTATACCCGAAATAGAGACGAAAATAATGCAAGAATTGCGGTATCCACTGTAGAATTAGCCCCTAGAAGTAGGTGGCAGTCAAAAGTCTCTTATAAGCTAACAACTCAAATGTTATAATTCATAGAGGAGCGGCAAAAAAAAAATTATTAATATTAATAATAAAAAAAAAAATTATAAAACCAACGTCAAACAATTGCAAAACCCAAAATAGTTTCATTTTAGATGTGCGCAAAGCAACTAACATAAAAACTATATACCAAAAACACAAAAAAAAACGAATAATTGTAGTAATTTTATCGTAGCAGAAATGCACAGTTAATTGGCAATGTTTGATCCGCCCAAAATCCCAGTGTCAAAGATAACTATCCAACCCCCCGCATACCCCCATACCCCCATACACATGCTACCTAGATCGATTCATAAGTTTATTGGCTACAAATTGTGAAACTACTAGAAATTGAGAATTAAATGTTAGTTGTTAGCAATATAAACCAATCTAAACATGGTATGTGAGAAGAATTCTCCACGTTGGGAATACTAAATGTATAGCTCCGTAGCGTCCAGTGACCAACCTTTTTTCGCTAGCCTGGGCAACAGGCATTAGTCTCTGTTTTCCTCCAAGATTCAAGATTTGGTCCCCTCCTGGTTTGGCCCGAAACGTTAACCACGCAGAATCGAAGAAAGTGCGGGGCTTTCTTAAGTGTATAGTCGGATGGAAAACCTCATAAACTGCCATTTGCCACGCTATGTACATGTACTCTCTAGGTTCCACTGTGTCTTGGCTGCGGCAATTGATTTAGTTAGTTATTAAGCGTTTACAATCGAGTCTTGATCATGTTTTCTGTTGAATGCGAATTGCTGTTCCTTTTGCTATGAACCCTCCACTTTTTGGCACTTTGTGTTGGAAGCGAACGACGAACGAAGATGCGATCCATGGTGATGCTCTGAGCATCATGTTAATCTTATATACGAATAATCTATCATATAGCAGCCTATTGTTTATTTAATTATGAACCAATTCAACCAGAAGATGGAAGTAATCCCAAAAAGTACACTCAGCAAAAAAGATAAAAACTGGAAGAGCATGTGACGATTAAGCAACAATTACAATTCAGTGGAATTTCAAATTACCTTACTGTAATTAACATTATTATAATTAATAAAGTATAAGATTTCAAATATCAATAAATGAAAATACCACAATATGTGTTTGTTTTTCACTCTTGTAGTTTGGCTATTAAATATTCTACTTGACTATAAATCTCAAGAAGTAGTTCTAAAATTGGCCCATATTTAGTCTATGCTTAAATATGTATTATTGCAGCTCGATGATGTTGCTAACATTCTAAGCAAATATGAAAAAGATCCTTAGGTTAGGCTAATCCAAAGCGTACCGAACTTTACTAGATTTATGGATCCGGATTTTTTTATTACTTTTTTTATGATTGCAATTGCAGATCACACTTGACAACAAGCGGATCTTATTTCGGGACTCGATAAGTACGGACCAAGGCAGATAAGCGGAGCACTGACGACAGATGCGCACCAAAAACAATGGCAGATGGTGCGACTGGCACCTGAGATACACCCGTGACCCTCAACCTGAACCCCAACTGCACCATGGTATCACCACTGGATCCGAGCTCCAAGGTGTTTCTCGGAGGGTATAAAGTCGCTCCGTTGTAGGTGGAAAAGCAACAGTCTTTAGGCATTGGATCCACTGAGTGCATCTGATCCGGAGCAGTTGGAAGTCCAGAGTCCTTGAAGAAGTAGTCAACATGAAGATTGCCATCGCATTGCTGGCCTGCCTGGGCCTGGTCGCCGCGACCAGTTTCCACAAAATGCAGGAGGTTAAGATCGCTGACAAGTCCTTCCTTGCCAATCAGAAGTTTCTTTTCGAGATGGTTTACCGTGTCGAGGATCCCCTGATGTTCGAGGAGTACTTCAAGATGGGAAGCTCTCTTTACCACGAAAAGACCTACTACACGGTGAGTGGAATTGGATGCTTCATGAATATATGACCCAAAAATTATAATATTTCCATCGCAGTTCTACGACAAGTACATGGAGATCTTCTACGACGCCTACAAAGTAGGCGCACTGCTTCCTAAAGGCGAGTTCTTTGGCGCTCTGGTTAAGAGCCACGCCAAGCAGGCTCGCGGCTTGTTCAACTTCTTCTACTATGCCAAGGACTGGGAGACCTTCATGCACAACGTGGCCTGGGCCCGCATGCACGTCAACGAGGGCATGTTCGTCTACGCCCTGACCCTGGCCGTGATCCACCGCGAGGACTTCCACGGATTGATGCTTCCATCGATCTACGAGATCTTCCCTCAGTTCTTCTTCAACAGCAAGTTCGTGTACGAGGCCGAGAAGTTCGACTACGAGATGTGGATGAAGATGACCATGTACGAGAAGGAGTACATGGACGTCTACTACAAGAACCATGCCCACGGCTATGGCTACGGAAACATGTACCAGAGCAGCGACTACATGTACATGAAGGACTTCAAGATGTGGCAGTGGTGGAAACTGATGGGTCTGGGAGAGCACTGGTACAGCGAGGACAAGTACATCCTGCGTGAGAACATCTACGAATTCAACCAGGACAGCAAGTGGCTCTCGATGATGAAGGACGTCAAGGTCTGGTGGATGCCCGTCGACTACACCCGCGACCTCAACATGTACAACGAGGAGTCGGTGCTCTCCTACTTCACTGAGGATCTAGGCTGGAATGCCTATTGGTACTACCTGAACATGGACTACTCCTTCTTCCTCGACGGCACCACATTCGACCTGAAGAACGACCGCCGCGGTGAGTGGTGGCTGTACAACGTGCACCAGCTGCTGAGCCGTTACTACATGGAGCGTCTGTCGCACGGATTCGGCGCCATCCCCGAATTCTCCTGGTACCACCAAATCGAAATGGGCTACGATCCCCAGATGATCTACTACAATGGCATCGGCTACAGCTACCGCAAGAACTACTACGAGATGGAGACCTACGGCAACTTCGAGATGCTCGACAAAATCACCAGCTTCATGAAGCGCATTCAGATGATCGTCGACATGGGCTACTACAAGACCATGGACGGGCACATGATTGACCTCCGCAAACCCGAGTCTATCGAGTACATCGGAAACATGATGCAGGGCAACGTGGATGCCATGGACAAGATGTTCTTCCAGTTCTGGTACATGCTCGCCCATATGTACTTCGCCGACGTCGACTTCCACCAGATGGAGGTTTACCCCAACGTCATGCTCAACTTCGAGACCATGATGCGCGACCCCATGTACTACATGTTCTACAAGTCGATCGCCCAGGTCTACTTCAAGTTCATGCACTACCTGCCCAAGTACACCAAGGAGCAGCTGCTGATGCCTGGAGTCTCCATGAAGCACGTGGAAGTCAGCGAGCTGACCACCTACTTCGATCTGGTGGACTTTGACGTGACCAACATGCTCAACGACAAGATGGTCTTCCACGATGGCAAGTTCGTGTGGGACAAGTCTCTCTATGCCCGTCAGATGCGTCTGAACCACAAGCCCTTCTCCTACACTTACACCATCGAGTCCGACAAGGTCGAGAAGGTGGTTGTGCGTGCCTACCTGGGACCCAAATTCGACGAGTTCGGAAAGATCATCTCCCTGGCGGAGAACCGCATGAACTTTATGGAAATTGACGAGTTCTTCTACGAGCTGAAGGCTGGCACCAACATGATCAAGCGCAACTCTAACGAATTCTACTGGACCGTCAAGGACCGCACCACCTACACCGAACTGTACTACTATGTGATGATGGCCTTCGACGGAAAGTACGACTTCCCTCTGGACATCAGTGAGCCCCACTGTGGCTTCCCCGACCGTCTCGTCCTGCCCATGGGCTGGAAGAAGGGTATGCCCATGCAGATGTTCTTCATGGTGATGCCATACTCCGCCCCGACTCACGAGCAGTTCTCCACCTTCGACTACACCTACTCCTGTGGTATCGGATCGGGAGCCCGCTTCGTCGATAACATGCCCTTCGGCTATCCCTTCGACCGCGAGATCGATGAATACGAGTTCTTCGTCCCCAACATGTACTTCAAGGATGTGATGATCTACCACGCCGACACCATGGAGCCTTACTACAAGTACAAGGGTTACTCCAACTACGGACATTTCGACTACACCTTCTTCAGCGACTACTACACCAAGTACTTCAAGTTTTAGGTCTCCTCGTTGTCCCGAAAAAAGACTTAATCACGGTACGAACCCCATTGAGTGGATGCATTTATGACTTTAGTCTTAAGTTGAGCAAAAAGTAAAATAAACTTTCGAAAATCCAAAGAAATGTTTTAGCTGCTTCCTTTTTTCAGGAGTTGATAATGGAAAAAGATTTCAAACAAAAATGGGATTAAAATTCCAAACTGGTTCTGTCTACAGACACAGGAAAACCCCTGTAGAGAGCCGAAGAAAGCATACTTACCTGGCGTAGAGGTTAACCGTGATCACGAAGGCGGTTCCTCCGGAGTGAGACTTGGCCATTGCACCTCGGTTGAGTTGACCTCTGCGATTATTCCTAATGTGAATAACTCGTGCGTGTAATTTTTGGTAGCCGGGAATGGCGTTCGCGCCGTCCCGACATATAAAATACATTTTAAATTCTCTCCCATCTATTAACAAATCAGTTTCCAAGTAACAAATTTCAAAAAATCCCTAATCTAATTCCAAGGAAAAACCTGAATTCGGTGAAGAAGATACATCTTTGTTGTATCGATTTATTTGAGAACACCTATTTTCTTAGTAAGTTTCTATGGAATGAGATTATCCTTTGCAAAATTACTCAAGCGGGTTCAAAATCTCCAGGCATAATTTATTACCTACCCTTTTGGGGTCGGTCGGTCCCCTGATCCAAAGTCAAGAACAAACATAGTTTTCGCGTTACTGAACCTAATTCATTTTAATAAATATTCAACTTTTGGGTTAAAAGCGAATTAATATACTTTATAAATTTTATAAATTAAAGTGAATTAAATATACGCGATATAGCCATAAAATTAGAAATATTAAGAGATTAATTAATTTTATTAATTCTTATGTAAATATTTGAACTCATTCATTCTAATATACATATGTAGCTTTTCAAAGGATTTATGATCATCATTATTGTCTTCAATTTTAATGTCAGGAAGCAAGCAATAGGGCTCTTTAAACTATTTTCACTCCATAAATGATGATGGATGAAAGGTATACTAGGTATACCCTCGAAACTACCCCTAGATACCTATTTCAACGAAAGATATACTTTTTCTTGTAATTCTCAACCAGTTTAAGCCGTAGAAATATTGACTCGTTGCTTCCTTCCATTCTCAGGTATCGCTTCTCGGCCTTATGGCTAAGATCAAAGTGTAGTATCTGTTCTTATCAGCTTAACATCTGATAGTTCCTCCATTGGAGGACAACAAATGTTAAACTGATTTTTGGAATCTGACGGAGTGCTAGGAGCTTGCTCCACCTCTGTCGCGGGTTGGCCCGGTATTGCAGTACCGCCGGGATTTCGGCCCAACTTGATTAATAAATTATCACATTAAGAAAAGTTATACAAGAGTAAATCCCTCCTTCGATTATTTGAACTCAAAGGATGATTTTCTAACAGTAGCAAAGATGCGTTGATCCAACAAATATATAAATTATATGCGATTCATTTTTCTCAAAATCATTTTTTATTCCGAATCCTTAACTCAGGAAAAGCTGAAATCTTTTTTAAAATAAACCTTTTAGGATTAAAGAAACAAAATTATAAAGGGTGGACGACTACACATTATGTAAGGTGCCTCGTAAACTAAAATTTAGGGAGTGCGCGAATGAGAATTGGGAAAAATAAATACATCACTTTGGACCCTATAGGAGAAAACCCCATTCAAGGGATCCCATCACGAAAATTGGACAAAAAATCTAAAAAATATTTTTTCTCAGAATTTTGATGTAGAATGGCGGAGAATCGATCCACAAATAGTTTAAGGTACTCCGCTTGAGAATCTGATGAGAATTGGGGAAGATATAGCCATCACTGTGGTCCCTAAAGGGGAAAACCCCATTTTCAAGGGGTCCCATCACGAAAAATGGACAAAAAATCTAAAAAATATTTTGTCTCAGGATTTTGATGCAGAATGGTGGAGAATCGATCCACAAATCGTTTAAGGTACTCCGCTTGAGAATC